AATTCCAGGACTGAGTAGTGGTAGGGCTTGGATGAAGAGACCTGCGCACTTCGGCGGTCCTGCCCTTGGTGGCTGCGTAGGACCAGGAGCTCCGCTTTCCCTGGTGAGGAGATAAGCACCCATGCCTTCCTCCCATGCGGGCTCTCCTGCCTTGAGCACCTGTGGATCATCCAATGCCGTTTGGCTTTTCCAGGTCAGGTGCGGGCTTGTGTGCTCATCTGGTCTTCACTAAGGTAGGCTGAGGTCGGAGACATTTAGATCTTGAAGGAATTTTGACTGCTGGTTCAGTTCAATTCAGATCCTGTTGAAACTTTCAAATGCATTCATTGAGCCCCTACTGTGTGTCAGGCACTCTGGCTGGCCGTGGGGAGGCAGCAGGGTATAAGGCGCATGGACAGTCGGAGGCCAGGCTGTTATGGGGCTTCTGTTGTAGTTTTGCAGTGGGCTTTTCTCCCCTGTGCCTGCTGGTTTCTGAGTTATAGGCTGAGCCCTTATGAGCTGCCTGTATGGTTCAAGGTCATGCTGATCATTTATGGCAGAGCTTGAACTTATGATGACCTTACGCTGACCTCAGTCTCCAATCCCCCCACCTCCCCTCAGCCTGCCGATTGCAAGGATGGAATCTCTCTCTCTCTCTCTCTCTTTTTTTTTTTTTGAAAATTTTAAAGACACACACAATAAAGTTACCCAAATAGCATAAAAATTTTCAGGGTGAAAAACTTAACAGAAGTAAATTTTGACTCCACCTGCACCCCTACTACCAAAATTATCTCCTGTGCCCTTCCCAAAAGGGGCTCATGGTTTTAAGTTTCTCTGTATCCTGTCAGAATTGCACTGTATGTATACATACTCAAGCATCATGCTATGTAAATGGTGTCTCTTCTTTTGCCCTCCACAGTGGGAGCAGATTCCTTCCACCTCCTTCCGTGGAAGTCCATGACTTTCTGGTTCTTGGTTCTCTAGTTGTTGAGTCTTTACCCACAGATGCTTGAGGTGGAACCAGGTTTTACTTTACCATGTTAACTCATCCATCATGAGTGGAAATACTGGACCTATTTAAAAAGTTACCTGCCATATTTGTCCTGTATTGTTGGGAATAGCTCCTGGACATTTATGGCCATAACCTGGGAGATGGTGGGTTGGGAAGCTAGAAGTATGCTTCACTGTCACCAATGATGGTGTCTGAGATTTTCTTCCACAGCTTTATTCTATGCAAAGAATATACTGAAGCATGGGTCAGTGTGCCCTTGCTGTTGCCAGCCCTTTCAGAAGACTTAGGAAAGAGCACCCGCAGCATCTGCTCTTTGACCCAAGGAATCTCCGGAGCAGTGGGGGCAGCCAAAGACTTGGGAGAATTTTAGGGTGACCTTGAAAGGGCTCGGGGAACAGACAATGAAACGCTTTCTGGGACTTTGTTGCCTGAAACTAAGACAAAGATGAAATTAATAGTTACAACCAGGATTTTTCCTTTTCTTAATTCGTACCCTGAGATTTTGAGTCCTGCTAACATGAAGTGTCTTAAGTGAAAAGTGCACTGTGGTATGTTCCTCCTAACCTACGCCTGCCAAGGTGCCAGGCACCTTGTGCAGGCAGAACGGCTGCCAGACTGTGGTGTCGTATATCAGTCATGGTGACCCATGGGCATGTAGCAACGCTCTGTACAGTAGGGACAGGGACAAGAAAGTCCTCTAACAAAGAAGTTTGATATTTAACATAATGATTAGTAGTACATACACATAACCCCAAGACTTCAATGTTAATGTTGACATTATTAACTTAACTCTTTTCATCAATAACTTTCCCACATATTTAAATTGAAAAATATAGATTAACAGTCCTGTGGTTAATTAATAACAGTTAATTAACTGAATTAATAACAGTTCTCTGGCCCATGGCTTTTAGTCAGATCAGAGCACTATCACCGAGCCATACCCCCATTCTCTAGGTGTACTTCCGATCGTCTCAGCGGCTGGGCTCTTAGAATACAGGTTATTAGCATCATCTAGCTGTTCATATAAGCACAATAACTCTCGCTGGGGAGGCCCTGTCAGCAATTCCAGTTTCCTCCTGTTCTGTTGCCCTTAAGCCCCCACCAGGTAGATAGGGACAAGCGAGAGTACCAGATCTCAGGGGTGCGCAGATGTTGCCGTGGTAATCAGGTGGTGTGTTTTGGTGTAGGCTGATGGTATAATCTTTCGGGTCTGGTCACTTGAAGTGAACTTCCTGCTTTTCAATTTTAATTGTGTGCCCATGGCAAGGTGCTGGACCTGGAAGCCTGGGTTCCTCCTGTGACAAAGGGGATTGTTGCTGACTCATGGCCTCCTGGGGAAGGTAGAGTTAGTGTACCTAGAGCACTTAACTTTTCAATACCTGGCCTTAGACTCTGTACTGTCAGTCCCTATTACTCAGTGTGAACCAATCCCAGGGTTCGATTCCCTGGACTGTTGTTCTTGAGCAGGGTGCTTTGGGGTTTTCTCCTGTGATCAAAGTCTTTCATTTTTGCAACTTAGGCTGTAAAGGGTGGGTCTTGCTGGTTCCCGCCCATCTTTCCTATTGTTCTGTTGTACTCATTTGGCTTCTTTTTAATTTCAATCTTTTCAGCAGTCAGCCTTTCCTCTGCTCCATCTTTGCTGGTGATTCCTTTCTGGAAAAACTGAAGGGGGAACTACCCGCTCGGGCCCCCCTCCTGTCCCTCTCATGGACAGGAGCTTTCTTTCTCTCAGTAAATATGTTCTGCTCATAACCTCAAAGAAAAAAAAAAAAAAAAAGAAAGAAAGAAAAGAAAACTTTGTGTGTGTGAAACGGGGGATTGAACTCAGGCCCTTGTGTTTGCCAGGCAAGCGCTTATTCTATTGAGCTATCTCCTCATCCCCAAACAGAAAACTTTTGAAATGAGCTTTTTGCTCCTGATTCTCACTGCAAACAACAAGCAGGAACCATGCTACAACCTGAGTGTTCAGGTTGTAATTGAAATACCCAGATTAATCTTCCACCCTTAACCTCAGTCGCTCCCAAAGTCTCAGAACATGCCACACATGACCTCCAACCCAGCTCCCAATGGAGCCTTTCTTCCCAGCTGAAATCTCTAGAGCCCGCCGGCCTTTACCATCTTCCTTCCTATCTGCGTCTTGGCCTTCTGAGTGGCAACACCAGTCGCCCACCAAACTCTGGCTCACAGTATTTTAGGTCTTCAGTCAGTATCTCTAGACCTTTCCCGCTCATCCTGTGAACCGTTTCAGAAGCTTCTGGGTCATAAGGCCATGTAACATCAGCAACGACCCCATTTTTCTGGGTATAAAATCTATCTAAGCACTTTTTGTTACTCTAAATGGGATCGTAAAACTCTTACAGTGGTGAGTCATTGCATCCAGGCCTGACATCCCTTGTTTTTCTCAATACAGAAATGCCAAGTTGTAAAGGAGCATAGAAGGAGGAGACAAAAGGAGCGAAACACCTACTTTCTACTTAATAGCCTCGTTTAAATTTTTCCTAGAACATTCTCATGTTTTGTTTTTGTTTTTTTTAAATCTTAGGATCATTTTAGTATTTCTTCATCTTTGGCCCTTTTAGCTTTTGCTAACTCATATTTTCATGTTTGTTGGTTCCTTCCTGAAAGCAGTGTCACATTTCGTTGTGGTCAGCTAGGTGGTACACATTTATGGTCAGCATGTCAGGCTGGGAAAATGTGGCCTAAGGAATTACGTTTATAACTAAGAACTTGACTTGTGCCATTTTGGGAAGGACAGTGTTTCATTTCCATTTTTAGCTAAGGGAATAATAATCCTTTAACTCATCTTTTTTGGAAAATCAGTTTTTCTCTCTGTATCTCTATCTGATTTCTGTCATCATCACTGCAGATTACTGTGAATGTTATGAATGACAGCAAAGGATAATACGGCTGATATTGGAGTGTTTATCCTGAAGGTTGAGTTGTAACATAAGTGAATGGTACGACCCTAAATTGAGAGCTCTCCCTGGGCTTCTGTGAGTGTCTTTGGGTTCTTTTCATCTCAGGTGTCCCTTGGCATTTACAGGCACACATGGCGTTGGGAGTCCCACTGGGTTTGTTGCCCAGGCTTGTGTAGGTTGCCCTGCATGTGAGTATTTTGGAAGACAATGGTGGCTCGATAATTTTGGTCTTGCCCAGTCTTCATGAAAGTAAAAGTGTCCAAAGCTACCAACTGGGTGAGTTGTTTATAAAAAGCCCCTGGGAGAGCAGGAAATGATAGTATTTTATAAGGTTGGCAGCTTTATTTTTAATGCAGTGTAAACATGGACATAACAAAGGCCAGTTGTCAGAAAGACGTAACAGCGTCACCCAGAATCCCCCAGGTAGAGTGAGGGCTGAGTGCAGAGAAAGCATGGACCCCAGGAGTAGTGGAGTGCTCGCCTAGTGTGTGTTCAATCCCAGCACTGCAGAAGGCCTCAGAAGACAAGGAGGACCTCACATTGTGAGGGAAACCCAACCAAGACCCAAGCATCTCAGGTAGAGACCCAAGGTTGGTGCCATTTAGTGTGGCTTTGGAAAGGCGTCCTGCCTGACACATCCAAGGCTCCTTGTGCCTGAGATCGTCACTCTGGAGCTCAGTATGTGACAGAAGGTAGCAGGGGAGTTCAAGAGCGTGTTGCCCCAGAGAAATTCTACAAGACTCACAGGGAGAATGGCCACCACCACCTCAGAAGCACTTGTCACCTTAGAAGCCACCTGAGAAGAAGATGTCACCTCAGAAACTACCTTAGAAGCATTGTCAATGCTCCAAATCTCCTGTGGTTCTCAAACTCCTTGTTTGTTTCTCTGGCTTTGATAATGAGGTCCTTTTGGAATTGTGTTACTTAAATTTCCATCGACTGAATTCTAGAAGTGCATCATGGGAGAAGGGATGAGGCAGGATGGGGTGGGAGAAGGGCCACTTGGATCTCAGGTGTTCAGGTGGGTCAATAAGTAATGTTTCCCTCTTGCTAAAGCTTCAGCTTTTTGTTTTGTGTGTTTTCTCTTGCAGTGGGGACCTTATTTGAAGAGTAAGAGACTGAGAACTTACAAGACATGAAGTTGCCTAAGGAATATTTTTATATATTTTATAGTTCCTTTCGTGATGCCAGCGAGCATGCGGATACAACCTAAAAGGGAATGTTGCTGCACTGGATACGGAACTGTTTGCTTTGAAAAAAGTTTTAGTTTTAAAAAGTTGTGTGAAAAGTTTATTACATTTCTAGAAAAGGAAAGAATTCATTTTTTATCTCATCAACCACCCCCAGTCCTCCCTTCCCAGGTGTCCATGCCGATCTTGGTGTCCACCCTGGGGTTCTCCCCCTCAAGACCACTCTGTAATGTAAGTGGAACTGTTTGTGTACAGCCAGAGCTTATGCTGTATGTGTGTGTGTGTGTATGCATGTGCGTGCGTGTACACATTGCCTTTACCCCAGGTGTTATATCCCATTTTTATATTTATGCTAAGGTGATCTTCACGTGTAGTTTGGCTGTTACACAAGGCAAATCTTTGTGGCAAAAGTCCCTGAAAGTTATTTAATCTAGCACTGAGAAGTTGACTCCTCAAAGATCATAGAGTCAGATGGGGCCAGAGGCTAGCCTTCGGTCCCTCGAGCAAGAGCTCGGTGTTCCCTCCTGCTGCCACCATGCCGCTCCTCGGGGATTTACACAATATTGAGGGACTTTTCTGGTTTGATTTTTGTTTCAACTTGAGCTAATCAATTGTTTTTCTTCTCCATGGAAAAAAGGGGTAAAATAGCCTCAATTCACTAAAAAAATATGACAAACTAAGCTAAAAACAAAACAACCTTACTTACATCTCATGCCACACGCCTGTGCGACCTCTGCGTGTTTTCTTCGTGCTGTTTCTTTCTTCTTCTAACTGATGCTTGGTATTTAAGACAGTAGCTTCTTTCCATGCAGGCCTGGAAATACTCGTTCTCTGTCTCTTGTGTGTCTCTGTCTCTCTCTGTGTTTCTGTCTCTCTTGTGTCTGTCTCTGTCTCTCTGTGTCTTGTCTGTCTGTCTGTCTGTCTGTCTGTCTGTCTGTCTGTCTGTCTGTCTGTCTCTGGCTCTTTCTGTCTGTCTCTAGCTCTGGCTATCTGTGTCTGTGTCTCTCTATCTGTCTCTCTCTGTGTCTCTGGCTCTATCTCCATCCTTCCCTTTTCTGTCTTTTTCTCCAGCTTTACACTGTATGAAAGACCTGAAAGGACACAGAGGCAAAATACAGTATTTTTGACCGATCAGCTAGGTGTCAGGGAATCTCCGAGCCCGGCCTGCCACCTCCATGTCAGTGTTGGTAATGTGCCTTGGGTACTTCTATTATTTCAAAGAGAAAAAGCACCTTTCTTGTTTGGCTCCTGAAAAAAATATTTCCGTAAAAATATACTTAAAAGTATTGGCTATAAAAACATGTTTTAGACTCATGTTTCTAGCATTAAACTAAAACTATAACCTTTTCAGTGACTGGTCCACGTGACCTCGTGCTGGCCACCAATGAACAGCGCCTGCGCGTAGCTTTATTTCCGTGGCAGAAGCCAGCGTGGGAGCCAGTTTCGCTGCAGCTGAGAAAGCATCAGTCTCGGGACTGTCGGGGAGCGCACTGGTGTAAATAATGCGTGTGCCCTCCGGGTCAGTTGTTTGTCTTTAAAAGTAAAAGACCCATACTTTTTTGCTTAAGATATTCATGTATTCTGCCCTCTAAATGTTGAATGATAAAATGTAAGATATTCTTCAGCTTTAATTATTTTTTTAAATTTTATTCAAGTCAGAGCACTTTTTATAGCAATATAGCTGCCAAGGGAATACTCAAAAATATTTAAAATTGTATTTATACCGAGAGTACATTTTAAATATTTTCTCATACTTGAGCAGTTTTGGTCTGGCTGGCTTCCAAATATGCCAAAAGTTAAGCATTCAATATTTTCAACACATAAGCTTTTTATTGGTTCCCAAAGCAACTGATGTTTACAGTTCACGTGTTATGCCCTCTCCTCAGAAGGAGTGGAGATCCACAGTGAACTCGCTGTACAAAACACTAATGATGGATACAGCTTTTTGGTGTAGTAAATGTGTTGGCTACCACCTTGATGTAAAAATTTGTAAAGGAAAATTTTCAATGTTTTGAATGTTAAATGTATTTTTAACTGTCTGGTTTGTACTTTTACAACTTTTGTACTACCAAAGCAGAGTTAAAAATAAAAAACCTTAAACACAGTGCCTTGGTTTGAATGATTCATTTGCTGGTGCCGTGTGCCGAAAATACCAGGATGGAGCATAATCTTCCAGGGCCTGATTTTTTTTTTTTTTTTTTTTTGGTGGAACCAGGGATTGAACTCAGGCCCTTGAGCTTGCCAGGGAAGCGCTTATTCCAATGAGCCATCTCCCCAGCCCCAAGGTCCTGATTTTTTGTCTTGATTTAGGAAGTCACCATTTGACTGATATTCATTGGATTTTCCCTCTATCCCCCAGTTAGTTTTTAAAATTTGGGGATAATTTTGGTCAGAGAGAAGAGTTGCAAAGACAACACTTCACGTATATCCTTTACTTTATTCTCTTTCATGCTAATGTTTTGCATCACCATAGAGCAATTGATTAAAACTAAGAAATTAACATTGATTTAGTGCTCACGTTGGCAGCAAATATTACTAGAATTGGAACATAGGCTCAATACTGTTAACTAAATTAATAGCTGCTTTGGATCTCACCACTTGGCCTAACACCTCTTGTTGATCCCATCACCCCCACTGCCCTGCATTGTTGGAAGTCCTCAGGCTTCTGGGATCTTGGATTGTTGGCAAAACTGCTCTTACGTTTCATGACCTTGACCCTTGATGGCACATGACTCAGTTCTTTTCTGGAATTTGCTGCAGTTTCAGCTTCTGTCTTGGTTACTCTTCTCTTGTTGCTGGGACAAAATACCCAACACCCAGAATTAAGGAAGGAAAGGTTTATTTAGCTCACCGTTAGTGGAGGTTTCAGTCCATACTCAGCTGGCTCTAGGGCAGAGTGACACATGGCAGGGAGCAGCCGTTCATGGCAGCAGCAAAGAGCAAAGAGATGGGCAGCAGCTCTGGCAGCTAGCAAGTCTCTCTCCCCTCCTTACATTGTAATACAGATTCCCCACCCCAGGGCTAGGGGGTAGCACTCACACCTGCAATCCCAGCATTGGATCAAGAGTCAATCACAGGGCCTGAGTTCCCATCCCCCGTACCACCACAAAAAAAAAAAAGTCAATCACAAACTCAAGAAGCTGCCCCGTTACTGCCTGAGGCTTTCAGGGGACAACTAGACACAAACCATAACATTCCACCCCTGGACCCCCAAAGACTCATGCACATCCCTTTACCATTCCAAAAGGTACACACAGGATACCAAGCATTGGGACCAAAGCGAAGTCCCTCTCCTGTGCCATTCTGAGGCTGCCAAGGGAGGGGTGGTCTGCTGCCTCCTGTGATGCCCTCAGGCCATCCTTTCTATTCTCTTGTTCCCTCCTGGCAATGGAGATCCTTTCAGCTCTATCTTTACATTCCACTTCATTATTGGAGTTGGAGTTTCCTTTCTAAAACTTGGCAATTGGGGCTGGTGAGATGGCTCAGTGGTCTAAAGCACCTACTTAGAACAAGCTTAGCAAAGCACAGGGACCGCGGTTCAATCCCCCAGCACCACATGCCAGCCAGCCCCGCTCCCTGGTGGGCTGAGCTGTCCACACCACAAATAAATAAATAAATAAAATTAAAAAAAAATAAATAAAAAAATAAAACTTGGCAATTAAGTCATTCTGCTGGGCTCCTTGCTCTTGATTCTCAGCATAAATCTGACTAAAAGCCCCCAACAATATCCATGCTACTACCTCAACATGTGATTGCATTGAAATTTCTTTTGCAAGATTAATCAGTCTGCTGCCCTTAAGCTCAGTCTCAGGCAAAGTCTCTGGACATGAGTAAAATGCAAACTTTCTGTGAGCCATAACACGAATCGCCCAGAATCCAACAACCAATGCAGTCCTTGCCAGCAGAAACCTCCCCAGCCTACTGTTTAAGGCAGATTTCTGTCAGCCTTCTGGTCTTCTGAGCTCTAACCAGAATTTCCTACAGAACAGCCGACGCTGTTCCAGCGCTTGGCTTGTAGGAAACCTCTCTGAACCTTTCCTATCTCTTCCCAAAAGCTCTTAATCCACATGGTCAGATATGTCCACAGCAATGACCCCACTCTGGTATCAAGTTCTGTCTGTTACTCTTCTCCAATTGTTGAGACAAATACCTGACACCCAAAATGAAGGAAGGAAAGGTTTATTTAGCTCACAGTCAGTGAAGATTTCAGCCCCTGCTCAGCTTGCTCCAAGGCAGAGTGGCATGTGGCAGAGAGCAGCCCTTCATGGTGGCAAAGAACAAGAGAGCAAAGGTAGGGGCAGCAGCTCTGGCAGCTAGTTTCCTCTCTCCCCTCACATTGTAATGCAGATTCCCCACCCCAGGGCCAGGGGGTAGCACTCACATGTGCAATCCCAGCATTGGATGAAGAATCAATCACACACTCCAGAAGCTTCCCCATGGCTGCATGAGGCTCTGGGGGAACAACTAGACACAAACCGTAAGTTTCCTTCTGTTTTTTGTGATGGGCTGAAGTTGCACTAGGGAAGCTGTACCACAGGTGCTGTGTTCTTCCCATTGTATCTCTTCAGTGGCACTTTTTTTTTTTCCCACTGAACTCCACATTTATTTATTTTTATTAATTTTATTGAGAAACAAATAGCAATGACAAAGTTTCAAAATCGATTAGTAGGACAATTTCAATAACTAATACATTGCATATTGTTGTCTTTTTAGTGGTGATTCATGGTATAAGATGCAGATGTGATATCCTGTCCAAATACCATTAGTACAAATCTTTCTTCTCATTGAATTAAGAGAAAGTAGCTGTATATCTATCCTATTTTGTATATACAGATACAAAATGGTCCTTCATTTGTATCCCCTTTTTTG